ATCACACCCCTATGAGAGATGTTACTTTTGGATTTCTATACTAGTTCAGGTAAATAGAAATCAGACCGGATTACTATTTGGATGTATTTATATTTCATCGTATTGCATGTTTCACTCCCAAGTTTTGGAAAAATCTTTCCAAGGGTTATGAGTACTAGATTTTGTCTAGTGTCACATTACCACCTTGATACTAGGGATTTGTCTAAATGAGCTATTTAGAACCTAAGGGACATGTTGTATGTTATTCGTTCCACAAGTAGTATGGTTCTCACATACCATTATCTCTATTTTAGTTGTTTGTAACTATGGTTACAATTTTGGCTTAGCTACGACACCATTGAAGTTAATATAACGAGATTTTATACACAGTGCATAATTGATAGACACTTACCCTAGGTTGTGTGTAACTGTGGTTACGCTCCTGCTTTTGAGCATGACATTGTTTGAGGTATGGTAAAAATATTTATGCGCAGCACGTGATAGTATTGTGAGCAGATATTTGAATTATGAAGATTGTGACGTGGGAAAATTTATAATATTAAGTATGATGTTTGAGAAAATAGTGCAAGAACATGATCGAGGCTATGTTTAGGCGATGTATGCATATTTCCCAATGAGGGGCAAGATGTTAATATTGCACCCTTAGAGAAATTATCTACTAGTTTATCGGGACAACGGTGAGTGTCAGGATTGCGGGTTGCAGACAGTAATATCAATAACATAATCGTTGGATTGTTAAGCAAGTGGATAGATATATAGACCTTTTATGTGAGTATACTTATTTATTTAGTTACTTATTTATTATATTTACCTATTCAAGGATTGGAATTTATCTTAAGGTACGACACTCATATCTTCGAAGTATGAGACACTACGAGTACGTAGGAGGATGAAAGTTGAGTTTGGAAACATGAGGAATAATTACATTCCGACCACGGCGAAATACTTTTCTCTGTGGCACAAATGTTCTAACTTGATTTCTGCTTTATGTATATATGCCTTATACTCCTATATTCGAGTGTGGTATAACCATGATTTTAAATTTCGGGGACGAAATTCTTTAAGGTGGGTAGATTGTGACAACCTGCCCCAGATTTTATTAATTTATGAATTTTAAAATATAAAATTACGAAAACACCCTAGAGAAGAAGGTTTTGACTCTCATTGACTAGCTTGTGGTGAGATGTACTAAATATTCTTTTAGCGTATTCTTGAGGTAATCGACAATACGAATGAGTATGCGCAAGTGGAAGTGAATTTGGAGTGACAAACTGAAAGTATTTTGAAGAAATAACATTTTTAATTATATTATATTATGGCATACTAATTAAGAAGACAAGTGTATGTGTGTGAGTGGGTGTGCGTGTGTATGTGACGGGAAAGAGGGAAGAAAAAAGGAAGAAGAAGAAGAGGAGGAGGAGAGAAAGAGAAGGGCTGCTGCCCAACCAGAAAGAAGAGAGAATGGAAGGACCAATCAGAGGGGGAAGAAAGGAGGAAAAGGAAGGAGAGTGAGGAACGGGGGAAAAGGGGGGGGGAACGGGTACCCAACCCGTGACCCGTGCAAAACACGTCCACTCCTCCGTATTTTACGATGGTTTTCCACCGGATTTCTCATGAATTGGACCAAGTCATTACTCCCAATCATCATCTAACCCTTCCTTTTCCCATTATCACCCAAAATTGGAAGGAATTTGAGGGTAATTGAAGGGTTTTTCAAGGTAGTGTGTCGGAGGTGGGGTGGCGGCAATCCACCATTTCTGAAGCAAATCCCATCAACCACCACCACCATTAGACCCCCTTTGAACCCAAGAACAAAGCCCAAGCAGTGGTGGAGGCGTCGTAACACATTTGGAGGTCTAATTGAAGCACACCCAATTCTAGGGTTCCGACGGGTTTTGATACAATTGGAGCCTTTCAAAGCCAAATTGGCCTTCGTCAAAGGTATGAAAGTTGTTCTACTCATTGAGATCTTCAAATCTGCAAATTTGGGTAATTTTTAGAAATAGTTGATTTTTCCGACGAGTCGGGGCTGCCAACCGACACCTATGGCGGCGAGTGCGGCGACGCATGGCCCGAGGGCTGCTAGTGCTATTTTTAGGGTATATAAGATGCCTTGAATTCAGTTTTGAGAATTGAATGACGTAGATTGATCGTTAGAACCAAAATTCTCTAAGATACGTTAATAGGCCATTGTATGAATTGACGATCCAACCATTGGATCGTCATCAAACTTTAATAGGTTATTATTCATAATATTTGAGGAATATAGGAGCTTACGGATTGGGAATCCAACATACGGATCTCCTCAAATTGGATATGTAAGTTCGTAAAATAAAATGTTAACCGCCACTTGGTTTTGGCAATTGGCGGAGATCCGACCGTTGGATCGTTTCGAAACTTTAGTATGTTATTCTATAAGCATAATGTGGATCCTTGGAAGTTACGGATCAAAGATCTGATTTGTAGATTTGCTGGACCAAATTGCGTAGACTTATGTGCAATGTAAGTTATGTATTGTATCAACGAGAATTCTAAGATATGGTTTGATAATTGGTCACAGGCGCCGATCGTTTGTGATGCCTAGATGTTCATCCTAGGCAGTTGTAGTGCGGACTCCAGGCGAGTGGATCTTTCCTTGCTCATCTTATGTTTCATGATTTATAATTCTATAAATGCTTTTAAATAAAATTGAGAAATTTATGCCATGACATATATATATATATATATATATATATATATATATATATATATATTTATATGTTATAAAATACTATGAGATGGTTGAGTTTAGATTTCATCATGATATATCCATGTGTGTATTACTATAAATGATTATTGTGAACTACAAATGGCTTCATCCCTGCTTAGGGTACGTAGGCAGTTTAATGAGACGTTACATGCAGCCATATAAGAAATGAGATTAAATAATCGAGATCATAGCCTTGTTTAAGGAATTGAGCAATGTGTGTGGGCTTTTGGTTTTAAGGATACACACACACACACACACACACACTTGATGTTTTTCCCATAAAATGCAATTAAATGATTTATACTTTAAAAATGCCATGCCTATTGAATAATGCTTAAATGATGAGTTGAATTGTTTGCATATATATATTATATATATATATATATATATATATATATATATTATATTATATATATATATATATATATATATATATTTATATATATATTATATAATTGTGGTACTGTGAACGCTATAATTCTATAAATGCTTTTAAATAAAACTGAGAAATTTATGCCATGACATATATATATATATATATGTTATAAAATACTATGAGATGGTTGAGTTTAGATTTCATCATGATATATCCATGTGTGTATTACTATAAATGATTATTGTGAACTACAAATGGCTTCATCCCTGCTTAGGGTACGTAGGCAGTTTAATGAGACGTTAGATGCAGCCATATAAGAAATGAGATTAAATAATCGAGATCATAGCCTTGTTTAAGGAATTGAGCAATGTGTGTGGGCTTTTGGTTTTAAGGATACACACACACACACACACACACTTGATGTTTTTCCCAGAAAATGCAATTACATGATTTATACTTTAAAAATGCCATGCCTATTGAATAATGCTTAAATGATGAGTTGAATTGTTTGCATATATATATATATATATATATTATATAATTGTGGTACTGTGAACGCTCTGAAGTGCAAAGGTGAACACAGGACACACAGGTAAGTTCAGGTAAGTTCAGATAAGTTTAGGTAAATTCAAGTAAGTATACGATATTAGTGGAACGGTGAGATATGTGATGAGATATGAATATGTCGTATAGGTCACTAGAGGTGACTCCGACTTATATGCTAGCCATGATTGATGAGATATGTGATGAGATATGAATACGTCATATAGGTCACTAGAGATGACTCCGACTTATGTGCTAGCTCTGATTGATGAGATATGTGATGAGATATGAATATGTCGTATAGGCCACCAGAGGTCACTAGAGATGACTCCAACTTTTGTGCTAGCCATGATTGATGAGATATGTGATGAGATATGAATATGTCATATAGGTCACTAGAGGTGACTCCGACTTATGTGCTAGCCATGATTGATTAGAGATATGTTATGAGATATCATGTCGTATAGGTCACTAGAGGTGACTCTGACTTATATGCTAGCCATGATTGATGAGATATGAATATGTCGTATAGGTCACTAGAGGTAACTCCGACTTATTTGCTATCCATGAATATAGGTCACTAGAGGTGACTCTGACTTATATGCTAGCCATGATTGATGAGATATGTGATGAGATATGAATATGTCGTATAGGTCACTAAAGGTGACTCCGACGTTTATGCTAGCCATGATTGATGAGATATGTGATGAGATACCAATATGTCGTATAGGTCACTAGAGGTGACTCCGACTTAGATGCTAGCCTATATATGGTGAAATGCTAGAATATATATAATGAATATACGTGATGAGCTAGCATATGTGGTGAATACGTGATAAACTAGCAGACGTAATGAATATATGATAAGTTAGCATGTGATTATAAATATGTGAAGCATAAGTTGAACTGATATATATATATATATATATATATATATATATATATGGATATTTTTTTATTCTAATTCTGGAAATTTTACAGGCATTGTAGCGAGGGGTTATAGAAATTTATATGGTTTCTATTAAAATTTTATCTACTGGGCCACTCACCTTTGTCTTGTCTTCACCCTCTAGGTCTTCTTAGCTAAGCCTTCTTATCGTCAAGGAATCGTGGCGATTCTTAGTATTGGAGATTATTTTGAGGGTACGATTCTTAATTCACTCTTCTGTACTTGTTTATACTCTAATGTCACATGTGAAGTGGGTTCATTCTCGCTCACCAATGCACTCTGGTATTTAGGCACTCTTAGGTTTAAATTTATTCACAATATTTCCACATCATCACACCTTATAGCTTCGTCACCTTCCAGCTGTCGACCAGCACAGCTCAATTCGGAGTCCTAGTACGTCTTCCAGGTCGGGGTGTGTCAAAAGTGACTTGCATATTTCTCTTGAGCAATATCATTTATCCATTGGCCATTCTTGTCTTTGTGGAGAGCCCCCTAATTGTCAATCACAGAAAATGGTTCTCCTTTCTACTCCTCATATTCAAAACAAAATATAACAAACATGAGCATATCGAAATTACACACTAAATTTTGATATGTAATTTAATTTCATTACCTTGTGAGCATTCCTAGCATGTTGGATGATGGCCCTGCCCTTCCCTTGTGATGATACTTTTGTTTCTTTTGATTATCAGCATTTTTCTTGGAAACATCCTACATTAGAATGCCATTATGAGGACTACTTGTAGCAACATTATAAATAAGAAGAAAATGAAACACCTTGAATCCATGAGTGGTTCTAAAGTATTTATCATCACGTCACTCTTTTGGTCATGTTCACGAATATATGGCATGATTTGCAATGTGTAAAAATTTGATCTCAAACTGACATGGAGTTGAGAAGTCATTGAAATTACTGAAAAGGCTCATAATATTCATGGATCATTTTCTAAGTACGTTAAAAGAATTTAATTACCACAGTGTGAATTTGAGGTAGTGGATTTATTTTGTTTTTATTATTTTCTTTACATTTCTAAGAAGCTCATGTGTTGATCTTTTTTAATATAGTAAGAAATCATATTGTAGACTATGATTTGTAGGAAAAAAAATTAACAAAAAATAAAGAAAATGTTCTACAGAAACATACCAAAAAGCATAAATAAGAAACATGGCAAAGTGCTACAGCAAGATAGCATAAATAAGAAAATGTTCTACAGAAACATACCAAAACGACTTCACTAGTGTAAATATTATCACATAGCTAGTGCCAATGACTCACTAATCTCTCATTCCATAGTGACTTCTCAGGCAGCTTAGCTCGTCCTCTCGTAGGTGTTTCACATGATAAGTAGTGCTCATGCCACCGAAACCTAAACTAGGAGTACAACTTCCCCATCTTCTTATTCATATAAGCAAGAATATTCGAATTGCACAAGTCTACCTCAAACAGTATCTAAAATCAAAATAAATAAATAAATAAATAAATATATATATATATATATATATATATAGATGAGTGGTTGAAATTATTATGACTAAGTTGAAGTAAAGTCAAACTCACTAGCAATGACTCCCGCAATTTTTCCTTAGCCATAGCTGGAACCTTCATCCATCTCTTGTAACACACCAGTGCATCACTTCGAACAAGAATCCCTATTTCAAAAGTGAAAAAACCTGACACACCTGCATAAATTGGTACCTGCTGCTTCAAATCAAAGATGACTAGCATATTCTTCTCGTTATTGGCCTTTAAAATATCATGGAGGCGTTTCCCAGATAACTTTCCACGTGTCTTTTTTGCAAAAAAATCAAACTCTGTTTCTGGAAACGAAAAACAAATATTTATAAAGTGTTGTCATGAAAAATGTAGATTTTCTGGTTTAAAGTTTCAATGTATATTTCATGTATGTATTGTACAAGAGTGAGATTAGGTATATATGAGAGGAGAGAGGGAAAATAGATGGGAAGGATGGCTACAGCAAGCAGCTGACAAGAAAGAAGAAGGCATGTTGCCTACCTAATCTAAACCTTACACAAAGACATTACCCCAATCAGTCTCCTCTCTTAAATCAAGGGAAAGTTGATTTACATACCCTTACCCTAAATATTACAATGAGCCTTACCTAGAGATTTACCCTAGGGGTCACCTTAGTAGTAGACTTGAAAGTCACGAGTGGATATTCCATATGCAGCATCACAACAAAAAGACATAAGAATTATTAGGGGTGGATTTTTTTGCCAAATTGCCGTGCCAACCGAATTACCAACCGTGCCATACCGATTTTGTGCCAAATTTTTTGTGCCAATCGGTAATGGTACGGTATTGTACCGTACCGAAATTTCTTGGTACGGTATTGGTAATGGATATCATTACCACGGTATTACCTTACCGTACCGAACATATAATATAATATATAATTTATAAATTATATAATATATAATTATATAACACATATTTATAATATTCTAATAATTTGATATGATGAAAGAGGCTCAACCTCGGTTCAAGATTCCAAATAGGAAGAAGATTGCGGCCAATGTGTGGGATTTATATGTGTTGGAGAAGTCTAAGTTATTTGAAGCAATGCATAATCAAAAGGTAAGTATCACAACCGATACTTGGACATCGGTACAAAACATTAACTACATGGTAGTCACCGCTCACTTCATGGATAGTGAATGAAAGTTGCACAAACGGATCATAAACTTCATAAAGATCACGGGTCATAAGGGAGAAGACATTGGGAACGTTCTAGATGTGTGTTTGAACCAATGGAGGATAGAGAAGATCTTTAGCATGGGGGAAACTTCTATTTGTTTTGGTTCGTAACTTCTATTTGGATTGTAAGCTTAATTTTCATCATGAATCTTGATGCATCATTTGAATTATTGTGTGTGTGAATTGTAAATGATGAATAATAGATGAATTTAGGCTACAATGTATGAGATAAAGGTACAATAAAAAAGTTTTGCCCTTGAATTGGGTTAAAAAAGCAAAAACAAATTTTGTCCCAAAACAAAGTGGCAATTACCATTGCCATACAATGCCAACCGAACATTTGGCAATACCGAACTTCGGTATACCGAAAGTTTGGTATGGTAATGGTAATAGATTTTATCAAACCGAAAATTTGGTACGGTAATTGGTACGAGGGTTTTGGTACGGTAACCGTACCGAACCCACCCCTAAGAATTATTGTACAATTGTATATATCATGTACAACTGTACAATCAAATATAACTCATCTTGAGAAATAAAAGTGGCCTTAATGCATTATGTATGCCTTACAACATCTGACCCATTCCTTTCTCTAAGACAGGTTAGAATCTAGAGGGAGAAGGCAACTGGTCAAGTATATGCAATAAAGAAGCTTAAGAAATTAGAGATGCTTCTGAGAGGCCAAGTATACCTTTTTTCATACTTTTTTTTTAATCTAATTTAATTTTTCTTCCCTAGGCTTCGTACAATTGGTGTTCTTTCTGTTTAGGTGGAACATGTGAAAGCTGAGAGGAATCTACTTGCTAAGGTTGACAATAATTGTATCGACAAGCTTTATTGTTTGTTCCAAGATGAAGAGTACTTGTATCTAATTACGGAATATCTTCCTGGTGGGGATATGATGACTTTATTGATACGCAAGGATACATTGATAGAAGATGAAGCTAGCTTTTATATTGGGGAAACCGTCCTAGCTATTGAGTCCATTCATAAACATAATTACATCCATAGGTACATTGATGTTATTTTGATTATCTGATTGTATACTTGTACATGATATATACATATGTAGATGCCCTGTTATCTAATTCTTATGTCTTATCATGATGAATGATTATACAATTGTACGTGATATATACATATGTAGATGCCCTATTATCTAATTCAAATGAACAATACTTTGACCAAATTTACAACATTATTACTATAATAAATATTTATAAAGCGTTGTCATTTAGAATTTTAATACCTGGGTCATTGTTTGCTAGTTCTTCAGGTGATTGTGATGGTGATGAGGGTCGTGGTGGTGGTGGTGGTGGTGGAGCTAGTGGTACAAGTGCATCATTTGGAGGAGGAGGTGTACGATCCCTTACCATTTTCACCCTCTTTCCTCGTTGCATTGGAGCTAATAATGCAGATAGTCAAACAACAAATAAATTATTTTGGCAAGATTTATGACAACTTTACTAAGATAAATATTTATAAAGAGTTGTCATTGAGTATTTTTATACCTAGGTTATTATTTACTAGTTCTTCAGGTGATGGTGATGGTAGTGGTGGTGGTGGAGTTGGTGGTACAGGTGCATCATTTGGAAGAGGTGGTGTGCGATCCCTCACCATTTTCACCCTCTTTCCTCGTTGCATTGGAGCTGATAAAGCAAATAGTCGAACAAAAATACATTACTTTGGCAAGATTTGTGACAACTTTACTAAGATAAATATTTACAAAGAGTTGTTTTTAGTATTTTTATACCTAGGTTATTGTTTGCTAGTTCTTCAGGTGATTTTGATGGTGATAGGGGTCGTGGTGGTGGAGCTAATGGTACAGGTGCATCATTTGGAGGTGGTGGTGCAATCTATCACCCTCCTCATCCTATTTCCTCTTTGTGTTAGAGCTGCCATCTAAATAAAGAAAAGACACAAGTTAGAACACAATAACATCACAAAATAATCTTATATTATAAGCATAGCATACAAACCTTTTTATTTTAGAATATTAAAATTAACATATCATGCATGAATCTTACCAAAATCATTAATCATAATCACTATATGTATAAGTTGTTTCACCATCTTCATTGTTTCCAAATAACAAGTCCTCATCCTCCTCTTCCTCATCCTCCTCATCCTCCTCATCTTTCTCCTCTTCCTCCTCCTTATCTATCTCCACCTTCACCTCATCCATTTGTTGCCCGATTACACCAAGCATTCTTCGAATCTCTTCGTCAACATCAATTAATTCTGGATCAATGTCTTCTCTACATAATGATATAGTACCTTCATCATTGTCATCTTGAACCAGCCGTATTGAATTATCACTTCCATGCTCATACTCATCATCATCTTCATCATTTTCATCATTATCATCATCATCTTTCTCAAAAACATCCCAAACATGCCTATGTTGAATCTTTTGCATAACTTTCCAAGGATGACCCAACTTTAAATCATCAATATAATATACTTGTTGTGCTTGTGTAGCTAACACATATGGGTCACTATCATACCACCAATTATTTACATTCACCAATGTAAGATGAAATCCTTGAATGATCTTTTTTCCTTTGGTATCCATATTGTACCAATGACATTTGAAAAGAATTACCTTAAAACCTCTTGTAAATTGAACTTTAATGACATTAACTAAGCTGTCATAAAAGTTAAACGGTTCACCATTATGTGATCCATACGTCATTACCCCACTATTTTGTGTTGTGCGGTTTTGATCAACAAGTGTGACCAAATATCAAATGTCATTCACATAGACCCTGTGTATTGGATAGTAAGTCGATCATGACCTTGGGCTAATGAAAAAATTGCTTCACTTACCAATCTAGGTTCTTGAAAATATAATGACCTGACTTGCTGCCTAAACCATTCTAGAAACAACTGTCTATGCCTCTGTTCTACATTAGCATGATTCTGTCTTTCCAAAAGTTGGATATGCTCACTACATAAATATAAAAAATATTAGTTAAAACAATGGAATTACAAATATCATAAGTGAATCTTAAACTATTAAAATCACATACTTTTTTAAGTCTTCAATTTCAACACAATTGTCTAAGATATACCAATAAGCCATTATATATCTTTCCTCGAAAGTTCAACCATTACATGACCTCCAATTGGACGTGCTTTCTGAGCAAAAAATGAAAGGAGTGCATTGGTACCATCACCATCATTGTTTCTTTCTGGTCAAGTGAATTCCGTCTCAACATCACATAAATACATAGCAAAATGTTGAAGATTCGTATGCCATGTGCGCTTCCACAACAAAGCATTCAGGTCGAGCTTTGTTGCGGACAGATTTCTTATACGTGCCTAACAATCTAAAAGTTAAAGTATTGTTACTATGTAGAAAAACAAACTAAATTAAACTACAGCAAACATGATGACACATTACCTTTCTACAATTCATCGACATCCAACTGATCCTACTAATTTAGCTTCTCGTGGAAAATGCACAATTAAATGAACATGGGAATGAAGAAATCAGGCGGGAATATTTTTTCTAGTTTTCACAATATGAGCACAATGTCTTCTTTCAACTTATCAAGATCAGCAACAGAAATTGTCTTTGCACATATTTGTTGGAAGAAATTTGACAACTTAACAATTGGTTCATATATCTGCCTTTTCAAATGTTTTCAAATACCCATAGGAAGTACACGTTGCATCAACACATGACAATCATGGCTCTTCAAACCTAGAACTTTTCCTTCACTTACACACACATTTCGTGAAATACTAGATGCATAACCATCAGGAAATTTAATTGTTTGCAACCATTGCAAAAAATCTTTACACTCGAAAGGCTTGAATACATACTGAGCTGGTGGCTTATCCAATTTATTATTTTCATTCAATTCCAATTGTAAACTTTCCTTGATATTCATGTCTTTTAAATCCATAATCGCCTTGAGTGTGTCCTTTGATTTCTCCGTATTCAACAATGTCCCAATCAAAATATCAAATATGTTCTTCTCAATGTGCATGACATCAAGATTATGCCTAATCTTCAATTTCGACCAATATTTCTACTCGAAAAAAATACTCTTCCTTGTCCAGTTTAATTCTTTTGCATTCCGCTTCCTCTTCTTGTCTTTATTATCACGATGCTTACCAAACGTGCAAGGAACATTATAATCTAATTGATCAAGTATGTCCTCGCCTGAGAAATCTCAAGGACAATTTCTCATCTCTCGACAACCATTAAAGAGTGCAGTATTCTTCCGCCATGAATGATTCATTTGTAAATAGTGACGGTGTCCAATATGACAATACTTACTTCTCAACTTGGTGTATGACCCATCCTCATTACATACTGGACATGCCAACTTACCATGAGTGCTCCAACCTGATAAATTTCCATAAGCAGGAAAATCATTGATTGTCCATATCACAGCTGCACGCAAATTAAAAGTACATGTAGCCATCTTATCATAAGTTTGAACGCCACTTTCCCATAATTCCTTAAGCTCATCTATTAATGGACGCAAATATACATTAATCTCATTTTCGGGTGCATTAGGTCCAGGAATTAACAAGGTGAGAAAAGAGAATGGCTTTTTTATACATTTCCATGGGAGCAAATTATACGGAAACAAAACAACTGGCCACATACTATAAGGCTTGCTCATATCCAAAAAAGGATTAAACCCATCAGTTGCAAGGCCCAATCTAACATTTCGTGGGTCTCGAGCAAAATCAGGATACATTTTGTCAAACTCTTTCAAGCAATAGAGTCTGTTGGATGCCTCATTGCGTTCACATCATTGACTCTTTTATCCTTATGCTACCTCATGTCTTTGCTCGTATGTCTTGACATGAACAACCTTTGCAACCTTGGTTTAAGTAGAAAATACCGAAATACTTTTCTCGGAACTTTCTTTCTTTGCTTACAAGCACTAGCCTTATACCTTGGCTCATTACACATTGGACATCTATCTTTCTTTTCATGTTCTTTATAAAATAATGCACAATCGTAGTAACAAGCATGGATATTTTCATACCCCAATCCAAGACTTCTCAATATCTTCTTGCACTCATAAAATGATTTAGGAACGTGGTTGGGTTAGGGACACATCTTCTTCATCATTACTAACATCTTATCAACTGCCCTGTCCATCGTATGGTAGTCAACTTTGTTGTGAATTAATTCCACAACGTAGGTCAAAATTGTATATTCATTGCATCCAGGGTATAGCTCCCTTTGAGCTTCATGAAGCAACTTCTCATAATTATTAAAATCTACCCTATGAGCATTAGTCACCTCACCTGTATCTTCATCATCATCATTATCATCCAATATTTGAAATGCATCATCAATCATATTGACCATGTTGCCATTAGGATTACTAGTCTGCTCATCATTCATAAATCCTGAAGTTTGTCCTTGCACTTGATGGATTCGCTCCCCATGACATATCCATGTATCATAATTCATATCCATACTGGAATTCAACAAATGAAGATGAACATCTTCAACAGAATGAAAAAATCTGTTATGGCAAACCTTACAAGGACATGATATCTGATTATTCTGGTTCACATGGTGACGAGCAACATCAATGAATGACTTGACCCCTTCTCTATATTCCAAACTAAGGAGATTTCGATTACAAATCCATTGTCTATCCATGATGTCCAACTGTATTTTAACACAATATTAACTTACTAAGACTTATTTGTTAAACACTATATGTTTTAGATTAAAATAATTTCGAGTAGCTAGATATGGAATTTACATAAACGAGGAAAAGATATATTAATTTCAACAAGATAGGATACATGTCTTTCGTAGAATGTGTGTGTGTATACATAAAAGCCATATGATATTATTAAAGTGACAGAATTAATAAAATTTGTATCCTAAAACTCCAAATATTGTATGCATTAATAAATAAATAAAAAGTATATAGATTGGTACCTGATCGTTCTATTCTCCAAAGTATTATAAAATGTATCTTCCCCTCTGTGCTGATTCCCTGAAAACATACGGCAAAACACACCACATACAGGTCAAGGGTTTGTTTTGTTGCTAATGAGAGAGTGAGAATTAAAATACTCTAATGGTAAAAAAACAAATATGCAAAACTACAGTCCTGCACTCATGCCATCCCATGCAATCCAAGCAAATCACCAAGTACAAGAATACTCCTTACCTACCATAACTATCCTATTATTAACCACCATTTTCCAATTCCGTAGTGACCATATATCATTACAAGCTGACTTTTTCTCAATTCATTGTGCCTGCTTCACAAATCAAATTATCACTATTTATTCCTTTTTTCTACTTCTTCTTCCAAGTGCAAGATAACCCCAAGGGGTTGTGGGTTTTATTTTTTTTTTCTACCAATTGGGGCCCTCCTTTCACCACTCCTAATGGTGGATCATCCATTTGAACTTGAAGCCTAAATCTTTTTCATCACTCTCATTCACTCTCCTTCTAGAAGGAAGAAAGAAGAGCCATTGAGCTAACAGGCCAAATTATACTTGCTATCATAAGAAATTCATGACATTCACATATGCCCAAGTTATTGTACTTGTTTTATAAGAAAGTCTGCTAGCACTAATGAAGCATACAAGAAAATATCAAGCCTACAAGTTTGCCATGTCAAAGATATAAAGCCAATGTGAAACTTACTATATTAAGCCTACAAGCCAAAACCAAGCTATAAGCAATGCATAAGATAATCCAAACACCTGGTCTAAACAAGCCTATCATTCAGACGACGACTAAAATAAGTTGCTAGAAAAGCTACAAATACAAGTTTGTGATGCTGTAAATGTTAAAGTCATGCACATGCTTAAATGATTATAGTGTTTATATATATATATATATATATATATATATATATATATTTCAGTTGATTATTCGAGCCATTTTCTTGTCATTGTCATAGCTCTAAGAATCAAAGCTACAACAATTGCAATAGTTGTGCAGCTTTCATGAAAACGTTATGAACAAACACCATTAAGAAAATAAGGAAAATCTTCTACAATCATCCACCGAATAGCAATCACGAGCACTACATGGAACCAACACTATTGTGAAATTTTAAGGCCCGTTACCAAACAAGATAGTGATCAAAACTATAAATACTGAAACTGATAAGGATTCGATCAAATAAGTAAAATAATAAAACTTTAAGACAATAATCAAAGGCTAGCACTATCTTTCAACCAAAAAAGGCCAACGATATCTGATTTATGATTTGGAATTTGGGAGAATAAAATCTCGGATTTTAGGGTTACAAGTTTAGAAATTGCCATAGTTCATTCAAAAAAAAGTTTAATTATGTGCATAACCATTCAAACAAAAGTTTAATTATGTGCATAACCGAAAACAAAATTAAGATAAGGTAAGACCTTACCCAATTGCAGCCACCAAGTTAGATGCAAGTATCTGGGTGTTGAGGAGAGTGACTCATGGCAGTGAGGCAAATCAGAGTGCAATGGGGAAAAAAAGGTGTGATTTGTGGGAGATGAAGGGGAGATGGGTGGCCACCGATGATGGCAACCACCGGAGAACAAAAGAGGGAGATGAAGGGGTGGGGCGACAAGTGACGAAGTGAGAGTGGGTACTCTTTCTGTTTAGAAAACCAAAGGAAGGTAGACTCTGTGGAAGATTAAAGGAAAGATTCAATTATTTTATTTTATGTTTTAATATTTGGCTTTTATGAATAATTTTATATATATAATCAATAATGCATCTTTTGACACACCCCGACCCGGAATGTCAACTAGGACCCCGAATCAAGCCGTGGTAGCCGACACCTGGAAGGTGATTAAGCCATAAAGTGTGATAATGTATAAAATATGAATAAATTAATTCTAAAAGTATCTAAGTACACAAGTGCGCGGTGAGCGAGTCTAGACTCATTTTAGGCGTGATACAGAGCATAAGACAAGTACAGTGAGTAAAGATAATAATTATACCATCACAAGGAGCCACCAGAATTGGGAGTGATAAAAGTCCTCGTCGATACGGAACCTTGCTACTAGAACCTGGAGGGGTGCAAGGATAGAAAGTGTGAGTGGTCAAAACAAAGATTTTCAAAGTCATTTCCATTATCTAAGGTAGTAACCCCTCACCGTAAAACCTGTATAGTTTCTAGCAAATCATACTACGTAGAAGTATGGAGTCAAAAATATACTAACGGTAAACCCCGAAGTATAATACTACTTAGCAACTCATTAGCAATATAAATAACCATGTGCTCAATAAACCATATTAGCACGCAAGCCGGAGTCACCTATAGTGACCTGTATTACTCATTCATATCTCATCACATATCTCATCAATCATGACTAGCATATAAGTTGGAGTCACTAGTAGTGACCTGTATGACTTATTCATATCTCATCACATATCTCATCAATCATAGATTCATAGCTAGCATATAAGTCGGAGTCACCTGTAGTGACCTGTACGATTTATTCATATCTCATCACATATCTCATCAATCATGGCTAGCATATAAGTCGGAGTCACTTGTACGACTTATTCATATCTCATCACATATCTCATCAATCACGGCTAGCATATAGGTTGGAGTCACCTATAGTGACCTGTACGACTTATTCATATCTCATCACATATCTCATCAATCATGGCTAGCATATAAGTCGGAGTCACCTGTAGTGACTTATACGACTTATTCATATCTCATCACATCCATTCATTACTAATTACCATTCAATCATACCAACATTATACGCTCACCTGAACTTACCTTAGCCTCCGCATTGGTGTGCAACACTGTGCAAGGTTGTACTAAATCACATACTAAAATGTAAACTAATTATGGCATGGCATTTATAAAACATAAAACCACAATTTCTCATTTCCTCGCACGTTGATTTATAACCAACATTTATTCACCCAAAACATAGGGTTAAATCTCACGTTTTTCACTAGATTCCTTCACATTGCTCATTTTCCCAAACAAAGCTTTTGTCTTGATTATTTAATCTCACTTATTGTATGGCTGCATCTAACGTCTTGTTAAACTGCCTACGTACCCTAAACAGGGATCAAGTCATTTGTAGTTCATAATAATTAATTGTAGGTAACATGCATAAATCACTTTAGAAGCGTTTGTGGAACTATCAATTATATGCCTATAATAAAAGGAAAAGACCCACTGACCTGGAGTCCACGTTATGATTCTCTAGCACGTGCATCGAGGCATCCCGAATGACTGGCGCCTAGAACAATTATTGAATCCCATCTCAGAACTCTTATCAATAGAATACGTAATTCACATAAAATACATCCTCAAGGACATTCTAAAATAGTTTGAGACTCATTGACCATCAGTCAAGAATCGATCATAGTTCGATGGTAGGGTCTACAACCCTGTATAACTCAATCTGGAAGATTTTCAATCCATAACTCCTAAAGATCCACATTATGCTTCTAGAATAACATATTAAAATTTTATTACGATCTAACAGTTGGATCTCCGCCAATTTCCAAAACCAAGTGGCGGTTAACATTCTATTTTATGGACTTACAAATCCAATTCGGGAAGATCCGTACGTCGGATTCCCAATCCATAAGTTCCTACATTCTTCAAATATTATGTACTACAATGTAGCAAAGTTTGGTGATGATCCAACGGTCGGATCGTTGATTACTATTCTAATCAAGTGGTGGACCTTAATGAAACTTCGCCGGATTTTGCAGATTTCGCTGATTTCCGAGCAATCTTTAGAACTCCATATCTCACTTGTTTCTCTACCAAATTCAACCCATAATGTACCAAATCGAAGCTAGAGAAATGTAGAACAAATTATACCAACTTGGAGTCGTCTGAAAGACGGCTGTCCGTGGGAAAACTAGTAACTCGCCGGAATTTCTAGGCAACATTTCAACGTCCATAACTTTGTCAATACTCCACGAAATCAAGTGATTCAAAAATGGAAATCTTAGTTTTTGACAAGAGGAAGCGATTGATACCTTTCTCGAGGTTAACTCACCATGGTTTGGCTGGAGAAGGCATCGAAAGTGGCGGAGGTTGCTGGAAACTGGGCAAACTTTAAATCGTTATAACTTTCTTATTTTTCAACCAAATCACACGATCCAAACATGAAAATTTATCTAATTGACGAGAAGAATCGATCTATACCTATGACTAAGGCCAATTTGACCTGGAAAAGCTTCAATTCTACTAAAACCGTATGAAACCCATGAATTTAGGTGTGTTCGATCCGACTCCAAAACAACTTCGTCGCCCCCAAACTTGTTTGGGCTTTATTCTAGGCCTCAAGAGGATGCTATGGGTGCTGGTGATGGATGTGGTTAACTTCGGAATTGTGTGGTTCAAACCCAAAACTGCCGCACCCCACCGTGCGGATTTTGTGAAATCAATGCCAAATCCCTTTATTTTTTGGGTGAAATAGGAAGAATTATCGAATGGCCTTGAGCTAAGGATTATTTTGACACCAACCTCGCCATCTATGGTGGTCGGAATCGGGAGATGGAACCGGGTCGGGTCACGGGTCATGGTGAACCCGGCCGATTCCCTCCTCTTCTTCTTCTCTCCTTTCTCTCCTTTCTCTCCTCCCTCATTGGTCCACCCTTCTCTCTCTTTTCCTCATTGCTCCACTTATCTCTCATCTCTCTTCTTGCCTTTCCATCACAACCATCCATATCCTTGTCTTTAAATCTGGGCCACCCACGTGGCGCACCAAATTTCATTTAAAATTTTTTTTAGAGTTTTCTAATAATAACCAAATTATTAATATGCCCAAAACTTCAAACGTTAACATCTCCCTCGCTATAGCTCCAAATCACGTCCCGTTTATGTCCACGCGTCCGTAGCAACAAGTACTACGAGGATATGCTAAAAGAATAAATCATACATTTCTCTAACCGATGGTCAACGAAAGTCAAAGTCCTTACCTCTAGGGCATTTTCGTGAATTCACGCTTTTAAAGTTAATAAAAACGTAAAATTTGGGACGGGCTGTTACATCTTTAACCTCACAATTGCGTATGTTATATTATTTAACATTATGTGATGCATTCTACAATTCGTCACAAATAAACTTTCATATGGGCGGTAAAATTTCCCGCCCATTTATATGTGGCGAATCTGAAAGTTATATATGACGCATACAATCTAAAAAATCATCCTGGTCTCGCGAAAGTTTTTATGTGACGCTTTCTAAAATCTCCTCACTTATTCTCGTAATATATGATGAATTTTTGGGCGCCACCATAAATTCCGTCACATATTCCTTGTTTTCTTGTAGTGTATATATCTAACTTACAAGCAACAAAGTATCACACCGAGGCAACTAAGAATACACAAGTAGATGTACAACTAGTAAGTAGACCCAAACTTCTTATGCGACAAACAGCATCCATATTTTTAAATACTAGATCACAGGACATAAGCTGATAACTAACCTGATTACGAGTTGTAGTCAAACCCAAAGCTTAAAACCGAAATAGTTTTCTCGTATTTCACCTTAATTTCACCCACAACCTTCCATTCTTCGACATGCATACAGAAAATGAAATTAAAATTTGAAATCTAAAATCGATCCAAAAACTGAACCTTTTTGTTTTGGAAAACAAAGGTCGAGGTCCAATTCCAGTAGGCTTGGCCGTAAATTAGCTGGAAAACTCGTGGGTACCGTTTCTTAGATCTGAAATTGAGGCAATTCGGACAGGAAGAGGATTTTGGAGGTACAAGTTGACGGTCGTTGGTGACCGGTGGATGTCGGCGCTATTGCGTGAAAAGAAGAGGGAGAAGAGAGAGAGAATGAAGGAGTTGGAGGTTTGTGAAGGATAGAGAGAGGATTTAGCTTTTTACACAAAAGCAAGACACCTATCTCAAATTTGAAGGTCACCAGTATTATGGGTGGTTTGGGAGTGAGGTGCTTAAAAAAAAGCACCCATGAAAAAAAGCTGTGAGGGTTTTAGGTGTTTGGTAAACTGAAAAAAAAAAGGCTTATTTTGGAAGCTGCTGTGAGAATAAGCTAAAATCAAAGGAAAAAGCTGAAGCTGTTATTTGCAGCTTTGGAAAACTGGCTTTTTTTCAAAGCACACGGAGCTGCAGTGCTCCTTTAATGAAAAGACCCACTATCAGACTGCTTTTTTTTCCAAAAGCACTTTTACAAAAAAGTTTACCAAACACTCTGCTGATTTATTTCACAGCCGCTTATTCTCACAGCACAGCCACTTATTCTCATAGCAGCTTTTTTTCAAAGCACAATAATACCAAACCAGCCCTTAGTGGTATCAGCTAAAAAGATACCAAAAAAAGCCAGGAGTGCTATCTTTATGTCTATAGTCACCAATTGCAAATAGTGTGCAACATTGATGTCCTATAGCCATAATTCTAGTAGTGAATTGCATGGGTCAAGGCCTAAAAACAAAGAATAGCTAACTAATTAGGTTAGGATGGTGCTAATCAGATGTTTTATTGTTTCTGGACGTTTGTAATGCAACATTCATTTTTATAACAAATTTCAATTCGGTTCGTTTAGTTTTAGACAGCACTAGTACTGTAAGAAAGTAAATAGTCCACCAATTCATTTTTATATACAAAGAAAGTTTGTGTTTGTCTAGTTATAAGGAAGGGTAATGCTAGTAGACTAAATTTGTAGATAAAATTTTATAAATTAAATAACATAAAATTTGATAATTAAATTATTACTTAAATGTTGATTAACGTTCTTACTTATATAAGTGACACATCATTTGATTTGAAAAATTAATTTACAAATTTAGTCTGCTTAACAGTACCTTATAATTTCAATTCAACTCCAAGACAATAATGGACAATGGAAACTATTTAGTCATCTAACTAGACGAACATTTTCGTCCAAAAAGAAAATCTAACCAGACAAACATAATATTCCTATGAATGAGTATGGTAATAATCTAATGATTAAACACTTTTTTCCATGATCAGATATTTTTTGCAATGAAAGATCCTTGAATATTGCTGTATAAGGAGGATAAGAATGAACAAAGTATTTTCTTACAAACAAAGCGATTATTCAGTTGACTAAACGGATCTGATTTGGATTTTTAAGTTGGTATTAGACGAACTACTCCTTGAATAACCGCACAAAATTTGGATCATAACTTTATGTTACATTGCATTTCTAAAAGATTGAATAATGCATTGAACATTTGGCACCGTTTGTGTGTGCGCTTTCCCAATCCGACTCTCGTTTAGCCGTCGGCCCTAGGTGTAGCCAAGGTCACCGGCAATCTCTGGTTCATTCCCTTTCTTTTTGTTTTTGTATCCCCTGCTATACTTACAGATCCTTCATCTAATTTGCTTTCGCTTTACCTTGCAGTCCTAAACTCTCATCTTTAAATTGTCTGTCCTCCTTCCCCTTCTTCCATGTTTTTGACAACTGATTTCCTCCCACTTCTAATTCTTTCCACTTTGCTTCTCTCTCTCTGTTTCCGTTTCTTTCCTTTTTCTCATCCCTTCAACTCGCTCCATCCCCCCTTGTTTGCACACCGACCGATCTCAATCTGCAACTACATCTCCTCATCGCGTTTTAACGCGGATTTTCCGGAAGGTGTGTAGAGCTCCGGTTGAGTGTTTACACCACCACCTTCCACTTGTGTGCCTTTATTGGCACTGATGCCTGTGGTTTTCCCATCGGCTTCCTCATCGGTTTCTTTCGTCTTGTGGTGGCGGATTGTATGGTGTTGTTTCAAGGATGATGGAGTTCTTTGTTTTCTCCTTCTTAAGCCTTTGTTTGGTTGGATTTTAAGCTGCAGTGTGGCGGTGGATCTCTGGTGCTATGGTGATGGCAGATGTGTAAATTACTTTAGTTTTTTTGGTTTCTTTTATTTTTGTGTTGGGCCCTTGGCTAGATTTGGGCCCCGTTTTTAAGATTGAGATTTGTTGTATCTGAGTTTTTTGTTTGTATATATTCTTTGTCGGTAATGAAATTTACTTTTTGACCCAAAAAAAAAATTAATAATGCAATTTTTAATTGTCATCCTTATCAGCTCAGATCGTGTTGAGTGACATTTGTTTAAGATTATAATTCTTCTAAAAGATTTAAATAATTGTCAACCAACCCAACAAAAAGGAAAACTCTGTCCACTTTCAATAAAATAATAAGGAAAACTTTGTTCATTTTCAATAAAATAATACTAGAAAGATTATATTTGGTAAACTAAATTATATGGAAATTGATAAGTGGATTATTACTTAAACGTTAATAAACGTGCTTATTTTCTATTGGTGATACATTATTTAGTTTACAAATTTAGTCTCCCTAACAACATTCTTTTCAATATATCCAAACAAGACACAAATCTGCCCTTTTTTCGAGTTACTCAGGGCTGGTTTGGTATTGCTGTGCTTTGAAAAAAAACTGCTGTGAGAATAAGCGGTTATGCTGTGAGAATAAGCGGCTATGAAATAAATCAGC